TATATTTATATTTATTTATTTATTTATTTTTTAAAAAAAAGTAGTAAATCTTGCTCAAGTGCCATGCCTTCCGTGAAGTAAATGTCAATGCAATTTTACCTTTAAATCAATATAGTGACACGTTATATTAGTTGATTTCATACTCAAGAATTTAAATAATTATTAGAATCAGTTTAGTGATGAGACTTAAAAGTAATTTGCATAAGATTCTAAGTTCGACTCCTATTATCGTAATGTAATTCGGATGAATAAAAAAAAATACTCATGAACCTAAAATAAAGCTTCAATTTCCTTGAAAAATGGGAATGGATCCTAAACAAATGCGAACTGTATCGAGTGGTTGTCCTGTTCGAATCATTTTTACTTGGCAATTTCGTTTAAAGGAAAACGGGAGAGAAAAAAATAGCTTCATATCCAAAGTGATATCAATAATATATTCAAGGTTAAAACCCTTATTTGGTCTCTTATAATATTTTTTTTATTTTAATTTAGTCTCATTTTAATTTTTGGTTTCAATTTGGTCCTTAATAATTTAAATTATTGCAATTTGAGACTCCTGTCTAAATGATTTCAACGGAGTTAACTGTTGGTCACGTGGATGCCAGGTGGATGCCACATAGGTGGACGCCAAATTTCATGAATACACCTGAAATCAGAACTGCCCGTTCTAAAACCAGAACGGCCCGTTTTGATTGTACATGTTATGTGTTAATTTTGTAACTAGAACGGGTTGTTCCAAATGCAAATTTAACACACCATGATTGCATCAGAACGGGCCGTTCTGAAACAAGAACGGGCCGTTCTGGTATTAGAACGGGCCGTTCTAAAACGCCAACTTCATGCATGCGTTGCCCAAAATGCTGCAATGTAATTCAAAAATTGAAAATAAAAGTTCATAACATATCATAAATTCAAAGACAGAAACATGGTTCAGAAGCTGAAAACAAAAATTCAGAACATAACATATACTAAAAAAGTTCAAAGAAATTATTAAGAAAGGAAATCATCTAGGTAACGCTGAAGGAAAACCCTAAGCCACAAAAATTCAGGTTGTACCTCTTCAAGAATAGATTGTTCTTGTTGGAGTACATCGTCAATGACTTCAAGGGGAAACATCGTTTCGTTTCATCCTTGACTGTATAGTGTCAATTTGGTAGTAAGTGGTTCACTCCAGTTTGACTAACAATGAAATAAAACCTACTATCATTGTCCTTAGTGATACACTACATCGTCCTTAATGATACACTGTATAGGCCAAATATTTAGCAATTGAAGTTATCAATCTCCATTGACAATATTACCAAATCTAGTATTTGAAATGCTTTGTACCTTGGGTCTTTTTCCTTGCACGATTCACAATCGTGAACTATAATTATCGACTATTTTGGAACCAGAACGGCCCGTTCTGAAACTAGAATGACCCGTTCTGGTTACACTATTAGTGTGTTAATTTTGCATCTGGAACGGCCCGTTCCAGGTACAAATTTAACACACCAAGAGTGCAACCAGAACGGGCCGTTCTGGTTTCAGAACAGGCCGTTTTGGTTCCAGGTGTATTCAAGAAATTTGACATGCATGTACGTGGCATCCACTTGGCATCCACGTGGCCAATAATTAACTCCGTTTAAATCATTTGAATGGAAGTCTCAAATTGCAATAATTTAAATTATTGAAAACTAAATTGAAACAAAAAATTAAAATAAGACTAAATTAAAATAAAAAAATATTATAAAAGACTAAATAAGGGTTTTAACCTATATTGAAAGAAAGACAGACTCAAAGCTAAGCCACTGTTTTGGGTAAGCACGAAGCATTAACATGTTATGCAGTCGCATTGGATCTATGTTTGAAGTAAATCTTTAGTACTCTTGTAATACTCATTTCTTTGACATTTATTTAATATTCTTAATTTGATAGTATTTTTTTACAGGAGCTTAGTATTTTTGTTAAAAAGAGTGACGAAGAATTTTTTTATGCACAAAATAGAACACACTCTGGGAGTGTTTCCATCTCTCAGTGCCCTGAGGACACCAATTCTCTCACAAAATGGAACTTTCCCATTATTTATAGAAACATGCTGATAGGAACTGATAGTTAGGGACAGTCAATCGTAGAAAATAACTGCTGCTAGTTATACATTAGAAATATACATATGATTCAAGTAGGATATGTAATTAGGAGTGTGAAGTTATTTTAGATTTGTGAGCATTTGGCAAGTATACCAATTGATATATATAATAATAATTATTTAATAAAATTTTGGTACTAAACAGAAAATTTAATAAAAATTTAGAATTGTTCAATAGGAATTTGATGGAAATAAAATAACGAAGTAATTGTGAAGAATTTAAATTTAAGATGAGAATAGTCATAGATTTGATTCATTAACTTTTTTATATAAATCCTCTTAATTTTTCAATTAATATTGAAATTATATAGCTAATTTGATAATTCATAATTATATTTAAACCCTAATTTCATAGATGAGAAATTCTAGATTTAAGAAAAATTTTAATTCTTTGATAATTTTTATTAAATAATCATGCATTAAAATCAGGGATCAAAAGTTGGTTGATAAGGTTTATCTAAATTGCTAATAAATGTTACCAAAGTTTCATTTAGGTCATAATTTAAATAAATAAAAAGGTTTCCCAACCTCAATAAAAAAATTATAAAATTATGTATTGGTTGATTAGGCCACAACAAACATTAAGTACAAGAATAAAATGATTAACCGAATAACAATTTTATTAAATAAAAGCACAAAAAAATTACATAATTTTAATAGTTACCTCAATATCTAACTGTATAGACTTAGTCATTTATGACTAAGGATTACACAACAAAAGAATGATCTTTGAATGATCCATGTTATAAGAGTAACCTCACAAGAACTCTCTAATCTCTTTAGAATTATGCTAACAAAAGTATTGATGAATTCATAAATCTCTAGAGACCCTATTTTTTATAACATTTTCTGATGGACTTTTTATTTTTAGGTTAGATGTGCTTACTCAGAGCGTCCATGTAGCTCACTCCGAGTGAGCTTGTACGTGCTTCTAAGAATGCTCCTTGACTTTAACCACTCAAAGTGCTCATGATAGCTCTTAAAGAATTGTGTTGACTCAGAGGATCCAAATAGCTTGTTCTGGATGCTCTGAGCGAGCTAGTGTAGTCCTTGTAGGTTGTTCTCTGACTTCACTTGTTTAGTGCACCCTTGTGGTAGCTCTAAGCTAATTTCACGCACTTTAAGTGAGTATCCTACTCGCTTTAAGCGAGCTAATCATCATCTCTAGTTACTCTTTGACTTAGTTCATTTTGAGCTTTGGTTTGGTCACTTTGAATGAATTTTACTCACTCTGAACGAGTCTTCTGTGTGGCTGAGCTATAGATGTCCTTTGATATTTGTAGTTTTCAAATTGTTCTTTTCCTATGTTCTAACTAAATCAAAGAAAAATATTTAAAATATATAATATTTAAATAATTAAATTTTAATTAAAAATTAACTCCAAACTAAATGTTTTATAACCAAAACAAGATTTATAAGCATTAATTATATTAATAACTGTCTAAATTAAAATATATATGCATATTTGATGATTATTATGGACATAGAATACTATGTAGGAGACTTTTGTAAATGGGAAGTGTACTGTTGTAACTGTGTAATAAGAGATTTTGTCATTAGAACGACAAGTATTCCTGTATCATGTGCGATTATATAGATCAATATTGTCTTTTTATTACTTTTACTAATTGATGTTCTATTACATGCCTTGTTCAAACTATTTTTGCTCATATAACCAGCTCAAGGGTTATCTAACAATATTCTCGCCCATAACATTCACCTTTTCCTCAAGTTGCATAGCAAAGGTAGCTAAACAAAGTTCAATTGGAATTTCATTTGTTTGAAGTGTGATGATCAAATCAATTTTTTTCCTTTGTCCATGATGGTATTGATACAACTTGGCTAAAAATAATTTGAATTTTGTATTGAAATGCCCTTGTTTTACAATTTTGAACCTGAATTAATCAATATAATTAGACAGCAGCTGGACATCCACCCTTTCTAGGATCACTCACGGCTGTTAGGGTGCCATGCTTTGTATATGAATTGGTGTTTTCACCAATTTTCCTATTAATGTTCATAGGCGTTTTGAGAGTATGGACAATAAGCTGAGTGACAGCGAGTGCTTGAGACTCATTCAGTTGATGACCTCTCTCTTCTAGGAAAAGCCTACTTTCTTCTGAAAACTCAATGTGATTACCATCACGAGCAATCAAGTTCTCATAGAGGACTATATTTGGTATTAGCTGCATTAGATAAAGATCCGAATTAGATTGTAGTTTGGAGCATAAGACAGCAAGAAAGATTAGTTAGTACCTTGGGATAGATCCTTGGTCTCAAAACTGCATCCAAGGGTTTCATTCCCAAGATGTAATGATTAAGAAACACTTGAGTTACTGCTGCAATAATGTTCATTCCACCACTGCCTCCAAGTACCCCAACCAATTGGTCATCCTGCAAGAGGAAGGTTCACTTGTAAGAATCCTTACTCTCCAAATGTAAAGATGTTACTGTTTTTTCTTGGTTACAATTGAAGGCACAGAGGTTTGATCATATGACCTCTTGCAATATGACCTCTTGCAAACCTTTCAAATTCCTCACCTCAAAACCTTTCCTAATGGCTTGCTAAAGTTCCATTTTGTATTGAAAAAACTATTGTATCCCCCAAAAAAACCTATCAAATTGCAGCCATTTGTAGCAAAATTCACAATGAGCAAACTACAGGCAATACCTTTGTGATGATAAGAGGAGTCATAGAAGACAATGGTCTTTTGTTTGGTTCAATAAAATTTGCTGGAGCTGGAGGTAGTTTATCAGGGGATATATCAGTTGGTGTAGAGAAGTCATCCATCTCATTGTTGACTAAAATACCTGTAGAAGTCGAACGAAGCCCAGCTCCGAAATGATAGTTTACTGTTGTTGTCAGTGATACAGCATTTCTATCAGCATCCACAATGCACATATGGCTTGTTCCATGATCTCTAAGTTGACTCCACCTGCTCAGCATGGTTATGAATAACCTTTTGTTAACAACTTAGTGAATTTCAACATACTCACTTCGATACTTTTTATAATACACTATCATTTGTTTCTTATAAAAAAAATTGGAGGTAGTATTGAGCATAAGAGAATGTTTTGGTTCAAATCACCATTCACCACTAGTGAACCTCACCCGTTCATATAGTACTCTGGAGGGAAAGTAGTGTTATCAAGTATCTTTTGCCGAATATTTTTGGCAAAAGATGGGGAAAGCATTTTGGATATAATATCATCAATGTTCTCAAAGTTGGGGTCACCCAAGTTCATTCGAACTGCAAACATGTGTTTCATAGCTTCTATTAGTCGATGTAGACCAAGATTTCCCCTTGCAGCATCAAGACTTCCGTAACTGTCCAAGATGTTCAGAAGCTGTTCATAACAATTATTAGAATATAATGACATACAGCAAGTAAACAAAAAAAAATGAAACGAGAAAAACTGTAGCAGCATTCTGTATTGATATTACATGTTGGTTCCCATGCTTTGTTCTGTTAGAGATATAAAACTCATTCATATGTTAGACTAATGAAACTAACATGGTTTTTTTTGTCTATGGATATGGTTTACGTAATGTTCCATAAATAATAATTAAAGACTAATCTGTACTTACTCGAGATGACTTCCACTAACCAAACATTATTTTAACAAGAATGACATATTCCAATTATAACAAAGAACTGAAGAAACTAGCATGTTTGTGACATCATGACATGTTCTAATTGTTGTACCAGGCTATTTCCATGTTTTCAGTAATATGAGAGGATAATGTCAATATTTCTACATGGAAATAGCATGTAGAAAAGAAGGGATAGGAATTTACACACCAGAGAAAGAGCAAGTGTTCCAGATGAAGGAGGTGGCATTCCATGTAATGTGTATCCCATCACATTCACAGTCATTGCATCTGTTATTTCCACCTTGTAATTGCGTAAATCCTCCATTGTTAAAATCCCACCAGCATCTCTGACATCCTTGACTAACTTTTCACCAATGGTTCCATTGTATAAAGCTTGTGGCCCTTGCTCTGCGATGATCTCCAAGCTGCGACCGAGTTCCACATTCCTGCACGTATCCCCTCCCTTCAACAAAATTCCATTGGGAGCATATAGTTCTCTTAACCCAGGATCATTCATTATCTTATTTGCATCTTTTGCCATGTAACTTCCAAGAGTAGGAGACACCACAAATCCGTTTACAGCTAGTTCTATAGCTGGTTGGAATAAGGTCTTCCAAGGCAATCTTCCATGCTTCAACCAGGCTGCATGAAGGCCAGCTAACTCACCAGGAACTCCCATTGACAATGCACCTAAGGTCTTATCTGTAGGATTGTTCTGATACATATCCTGTTCATTGACATTCGCATATATACACAAATGTAAGCTGCACTGTTGTAGATTTCCGTGAATCAAAATGAATGATCATTATGAAATATTATTTGTTAGCATTCAACATGTCCAAGTAAACAACAATAGATGTCAAGCTTAATCTATTTAAGGTCTGCTCAGATAAATTTCTCCAAAAATACTTTTAGAAGAAGAAAAAATGAAATAATTTTTTCTAAAAAATTAAGATTAGCTTATGCTTAAGTTAATTTGTAGAACTCTTTTGTATTAGCTTTTTTAAAATATGTTTTTAACTTATGTATAAACTAATTTTAACTTATAAAGAATATAATTTTTTTCCCCTTCTACTAAAAGTACTTGCAAACAAGTCTACCCTCACAAGTCTTATATCTTATAAGCAAATGTTAATTTGGTCCAATTGCTTTAGTAATGTCAAGCATGAGGTTTAACAACTTTAACGGTTTAGCAGAAAAGTTAACTTGAAACCTGTGAAGCAGCCAATGGAGCAGTTTCTCTCATGTCAAAGGCTTGGGTTTGGGATGTTGAAGAAGATCGAACCACCATGAAAGAGCCACCTCCTATGCCACTTGATGCTGAGAAAACAACACCAACGCATAATACAGTCGCCACTGCAGCATCAACCGCATGTCCACCCTGCCTAAGCACTGAAACACCAACTTCAGAACATCGAGCATCATCAGCAGCAACAACTCCCACCTCCGATTCAACAATTTGTCCCTGGTTAGATCTCATTCCCTCATTATGTTTGTCTGCACCTGATAGTATCCCATAACTAGTGTTGCCTCTCATTACTAGTCCAACAACTGAAGAAAAAAAAATTATGATATACATTATTAGATATGGTTTATCGATAGCAATATATGATAATCAAATTGCGTTAGGGTGAAACAGATGATTCAGCACAGATGTTCAACATTCCAGTCACCCTAGAATGTATAACTTTTCGATATTCTGTACTTGGAATGTATAAGTTTTCTATATTCTATACTTGTTTTTTCAAATATCCCATATACTTAATTCAAATTATTAGGGAATTTGTTCGCACAATCTTCATCTTGAAAATTAGGAGAATTAAGCTATACTTAAAATTATCTTTGTCTCTTCGAATTGATGTTGGTGGTTTCTCAATTTACTCTTTAGTTAAAGTAATTATTATAAAATTAATAAATTTAACGATTAATCATTTATATGATAATATAAAAATCTGTACCCCTGTCAGTGAATTCTAACCAAATTCCTTTTTTTTTTGGACCCCTTAATCAATGACTTCAAAATTCATGCGTCAAAACCATTCATCCCAGACAAAATGTCATCTTTCGACTTTCCCCGGTATGAATATGGAGAACAAAGTGAATGAACACAACTTACAAAAGAGGGTCATTGTATATTTTGATTCTAAGTCCAATCTGGTGGTGAATTGCAAGAACTTGATGGAAGGTGCTTTATGACAAATTCTTTTTTCTTCGGAAAATTAGTCCCATACATAAAAAGAGAAATGAACCTAAAATGGAACTTACATGTGACAGCCACGAAGACACAGAGGAACATCTTGAGTTTATGTTTCTTAGTCAAAACATCGTCTTGTAACAACAAAGGAGAATCCATGATGGTGTGCTGAGTGCTCCACAAGGACGATGATAGTGTTGTGTTGGAGCACCCCAGTTCAGTTGAGAAGCAGTTAATGAAATGGGTGCCTCTCTGACCGGTGAATGTTCTCAATTTCTCATCTCAATAGTTGGAATTGAATTGCAGTTGGAAGCACACCCTAAACTTCTTATAATGTTCTCACGTCATCTTTTTGTTTTCTTAAGGATTTATTTAACCAATTGCATCAATTTCACGTGGCGTGTGTTTTAAAGAAAAGCTATTGGTGTTTGATATGAATATATTTTGGGAATAAGATAATATAAAGCTATGCATTCCATGATGATGGGCGTTCAGATAATTTTTTAATAATAAATACCCAGTTCAGGTCCAGGTTCAGTGAAGGTTACAAAGAGAAAATAAGACGTTTATGGTAGTTTGTGGCACTGTGGTGTCATGGTGTGGCACTGGATTTCTCTTAAGTAGGGATTAGTCGATGACGATTCATGTATCAAATATGCATTTTAAGTTGAATTTTAGTACGTCTGAATGTCAATTTTAAGTTCAAATGTGGCGTTCAAGTTTCAATGAAGTAATCGCGTGAATGCAACAAATTCCATGATAAGTGTTGGTTGTTAAGACACACACGCCATTTAAAACATTACTTTTAAATTTTAAATTTTAAATTTTAAGATAAGATGTTTTATTTTTAAATTAACTTTTACCTTTTAACTTTTATAGTTTTAAATAAATCATTTTAATTCCTATACTTACATTTTAAATCCTTTTTAACTTTTGTTGATTTTTTATTATTTATAATTATGTCTCTTTTATGTTAATATGATAAATATTTTCACTATGTTTTACAAAAAATAACAACACAATCGTGCTTAATTAAAAATAGTAACACATTTTCATGAGACCATAGCAATAACTCGTTCTTCCTTGCACAAGAATCCTAATACACCACACTCCATTATAAGAAAAGTGATAATATGGTTTTTTTTTTTACTTCATAAGCACATTGACGAAGAGAGAAAGAAACCTTACACTAATCAAAGAGTCTTTATTTTTTTTCTTTTCAGACCATTAAGTAATACATTATTATTTAAAAAATTAAATATATTGTTGCCACATAGATTTAATAAGTATACATTACTCATATGAAAATGACTTACAAAGAAATTAACAACAAACAGTAAAAGAAATTAAAAAATATAAAATATAGAGACTAAAAATATTTATTTTAAACCATAATAAAAGGTAAAATAAGTGAAACTATAAGGACTAAAAAAATATTTTAATCTAAATAAGACTCACGTTATGTAATTTTGTGATGTCTTGACTTAAGGGGGGAGAAACTTCCAGAAAACTAAACACTTCTTTACTTTTACTCAGACTCTTAAAGGATCTCTAAGACTTGGAGTAGAGAATTCCATGATGCAGCTACGAGACTTAAGTTGTTAAAGTTTAGAGCTATTTCCTTCTCATTCTCTTCTTCCACCTCGGAGCAGCTTGAAGATCATCCATCTTCTTCGTTCTCTTCTCCTTCGTTCTTCTCTTCTTCTTCTTTCTCAGAGATCTTGAAATCTTGGATTTTTATGATTTGTGGGGTTGTTGATTCAGTTAAGAGCTCAAAATTGGTAGGATTTCTATAAATTTGAGTTGAGGGAAAGGAATTTGAAGTTTGCATGTGGAAACTGAAATCTTGATGTTATTGATGATCTCTTTGAAAACTTGATGCATGCATGTTAAATTTCTTGTGTTTTCTAGGTTGTATGAACGAATTGAAAAGAGATTATGAGCATAGATCATGTTTAGGGGGAAAATTGATGAAATGTAGGTGAAAAACAAAGGTGGGAAGCCATGAAAATGCAGAAAACTCTGCACTTTGTGCTAGAGCATTGAACCAACACTGAAGCTGTGAGAGAAAATAAGGAGGCAAAGATCCAACGCTATAGCTCTGAGTTGGGTGTTGTAGCCCTGGGAGGAACTGATTTGGCTGAGATTTAGTGCTTTAGCTTTGAGTGAGTGTTGCAGCCTTGGGAGAAAATGAAGCTGACAGAAATCCAGTGCTACAACGTTGGGGATAGATGACCGAATTTAATCTTAGGATCTTTATGAAAGTTGTATTTTTGGATGTTAACTTTCCAATGGCGTTAGAATCACCAAAAAAGGAGGTCTAGAACTCTAATTATGTCTTTTTTAGTGAACATAGGTCAAGTTGTCAAGATTTATGCAAATTGTTGCGGTCTTTACCATTTTTAACATGATAGATGAGGGAATTAGAACCTAAGTTCTTCATGAAAGTTGTATCAAATCTTCTTGTCTTTCATATGAGATAAGGATGAACATGATAAGAGTAGTAGAACTTCCTATAGATTAATTATTTTAATTGATAATATTAAATTTATCTTAAATTTATGAGTTTAACAGTCATACATTATAAATATAAAAAAAATTTACACAATCAACTAATAAAAAAATATGATTTGTACAAATTTTAAGACAAATAATATTTATTATAATACTCAACAAATTTATAATTTATAATGCGTTGTAAATAGAAGGTACTGTAACACTTTTTTACATTATTAATATACGACCATTAATCCTCAAATTCACACTCTTTATTATTTTTTTTAAGAATTGTAGTCCTAAAATCAGTATGGTGTCATTTTAATCTGTCGATATAATAGTATTAATTGAATTTTTTTATGTATCATTCTCTTTCTTATATTTATTAATTCTTTTTCAATATAAAAAAAACATAAAGCAATATTTATTATAAAATCGAGGGAGAATATTTTTTCTAAACTACTCCTAACATAGACTCTTATTTTATCAATACTTATTTTTTTTCGTTCTTCCTAGAGTATCCACCGTCGACAGTAATGACTAATCTCCTCGTTAGGAGGGAGGTACCTCAAAGGGTGGGATAGCTGGTCCCAATATTTAACACGGTTGTATACACAAGGCAGGATTCGAATCCCTAACCTTACTTAAGCGTGGATCAATCCCTATCGTTAAACCACACGCTTGGGGTTTATCAATTAAGAGTCTTAACTTTGATTAAGAATTTTTCACGTAAAAAACAATTAATTCAACAATGGTTAATTCTTAATTATAATAAAAGAAGAAACATCAACGAAAACACTTTTAATTTAAGTCTCGTAATAAAGAGTCATTTAAATTTTTGGAATAATAATTCAAAAACTTTTTTATTAAGCAATTTAGAATTTGATTCTTATTAATTATTTATCTTTTTTACTGCAACACGTAAAACTTAATCACTAAACTATAGATTTTTTATTATTAATTACTTCTATTCTTTTAAATTAAGGTCACTTTAATATAAAATAATGTTTATAAAATTTATTAAAGTTCATAGTGTGAGACCCCGTTCTCTCTCTCTCTCTCACCTCCTCCTTCACTTATTTTTCTTCTCCTCTACCCTTACTCATTTCTTTTCTCTCAAAAAATTCCTTGTGGTTGGTTGGAGTTATTTACATGTTGTAGAACTAGTTCATATATGTATGATATATGATAGAAATTGGTGCTTGATTCATATGTATGCTTGGTAATGATATATATGAATGTTTAACATGATTTGGCATGTATTTTCATATGAGAATGATATTGATCATGATGGTGGATTGACCATGTATGATGCATGATGCATTGTTACATGTGATGCCCATGTGTCTAGCCTAGGACTTAAGGAGAGGGAAAATATTTTCAAACGAGAAGAGCTCACATAAAGTCTCTTGAGAGTGGTGCTTGGATAGGCCACTAGTTTAGATGAGAGTAGTGCTTGGATAGGCCAATGTTTTTGGGTGAGAGTGGTGCTTAGATAGGCCACTATTTTGGGTGAGTCTCCTCTAAGTCCTTAGCTAGTGTTGGAGCAGAGTATGAGGTTGAGGGTTATTCCCTTAACCAAGTACTGGGAAAGGTGTGTTTTTCCTTGCAGGTAGTTGGTGGGCGAACTCTACAAGTGACTTGGTAATGCATGTCAAGGTCATGGTAAGCCTATATCCAGCTTTACTATACCTGACAGTGGAATCAGACTTCCAAGTTTGTAAGTGACATCATCCGAGTAAACACGAGTGGGGATTTATATCCTGATTTGTTGTACCCAGCCGACGCATTGGGCGTGAAAATGGTTGGAGTGGTTTTGGTAGGATGAGATGTCACTTATACTGCTCTATTGTTAGGGAGATCTCCTAGGTGAATGCATGGCGATGCATTAGATGATTGATATGCATTGATATCTGTCATGAGTTGTTCTTATTGCATGATTGCTATTATGATGAAGTGTATGGTGTTTGACTTCATGATTGGTGAGTTGATGATTGAGTGAGATAGAAGTCCTTGGGACATGATTGGATGAATATGTAGTATAGACTATTATTCTATATTTGTATGGTTGCTTATTGAACTCTAGCTTACCCCTCTGTTTCCATGTTGATGGACTGCGATGATCATACTATGTATGGGAGCATGTCAGGGTTAGGTTGGAGTCGATGTGATTGCTACTGAGGCGTTGAATGTTTTCTCCCAGTGTCGGCGTTACTGTTGGAGTAATTGATTAGATTTTTGACCAGCACTAAGATAGTATTATTTTGGATGACTGTATATACATAGTATTATAGTTTGTATATAAATATTTGATTTTTTTTATCACTTCATTTATATGTATGTTTTGTTATCCAACTTAATATTTTATCTTAAATGACTATTGTAGTTAGCACGATTCTACTAAGTGTAGAAACCATAGTATGTTGTTACAAATTTAATTACGAGACTTTTTAGACTTGAAAAATCAATGTCCGATATATAAGTTTCTATTTGTAAATTCAATTATGAGTTTTTTCTATTATATATATATATATATATATATATATATTATTTACATTATAATATCTCCTAAAAAAATTACATTATAATATAATTCTTAATTGCAAATTCAATTTATCTAAAATGTATTATTTTAAAATTTAGAAAATATGTTCAGTTTAAAAACCTGTCTTCTGTTTTCAGAAAAGGAAAACAGTAAAAATATGTTTAGTTAAATCATTCTCAGTAAAAGTTAACTTTTTTTTTATATACATTTTTAAAATTACTAATAATAAAATATTTATGAACAATTATTAATCACGTGAATTCTCATTCTATATATGAATGTTTAACATGATTTGGCATGTATTTTCATATGAGAATGATATTGATCATGATGGTGGATTGACCATGTATGATGCATGATGCATTGTTACATGTGATGCCCATGTGTCTAGCCTAGGACTTAAGGAGAGGGAAAATATAGCCTATTCTTTAATTGTTAATAAAATAGCGTTATTCTTTTATTATTTATATTCAAAGAAATTTCTATAAAATATTGTTTATATTAATTGCTACAATCCTTTCTTAATAGGATCCGGATCCTCTGATTTTGAGATATCAAAGTTATGGTAACTTAACAC